ATCTCTGACGGTCCTTCTCTCTCCATTCATACAGTCACCACCCTAGTTACTGACCTGATCAGTTTTATATATTATCCATTCATACAGCAGAATGCCTAGTTCAGGCGCTTGTCATTTCTTGTCTGGGTTATTGAACTATCCACCTATGTAATATTCCTCTTTCAATTCTCTTTCACTTCTAGTTCGTCCTCCATACAAGCACCAAAGTGAGTCTCCTTAAGCTCAGGTCTCTCCATGTCACTTCCATACTCAAACTCCAGTCCTGAATACGATCAACTATAAAATTCTTTATCTGCCATTGAAAGCTCTTTCAACTTGCCCCCATCACACATGGATGAGTCTATGTGGTGGATTTATTAAAGTCCAAAAGGATGAGAAGACATGGGTGAGTTGTATAGGACTGGACACATTGGTGAGGTCACTGGTCAGTAAAAATATTAAAGCAAGAAGAAGCTGACTGGTTTCAAACAACCGACTGGGTCTGATATTTATGATCCTATACAATTCAACAGTCCAATTCCACCTCCATTAGGTTAGTAAGGAATGAGAAACTCTTTTAAATAATATGAAAGGGAATTTCTGCATTCAAGTTGAAAGTAACACAACTAAATATTTAAGTGATTATATTGGCCAATGAGTGATTCAACCAGTATATTAAGTATTTGCTAAGTGCCAGGTAGAGTCCCTGCCCTCTGGATGAATTTTCACATTCTATTGCAGTTCCCGCTATCCTAAGTTCTAACTTTGAGGTTAGTTAGAGGCTAGAGCTTGACGTTTTGGGCTTGTGTCAATTGCCTATTTCATCCAAATTTGTTCCTCCCTCCCAAAAATGAAATATGTTCCTACATTTCAAAAAATACTAGTCAAAGTTATGATCTTTAAAAAATGATTTAAAGTTACCATCAAAGATATCTAGGTGAATATGTATATGAATTTACAGTGTTTAATAATCTCAACTGAGAAAAATTGTTCATATTCTCTGATATGGGTGACATTCATTTAACATCATTTCAATATTGCATTCTGTATAACACATGCAAGAAATGGGTATGTTGTAATCAAATCAATTCCAAAGAAAGAGAAAATCATGAAGAAAGAAAGTATATATGTATGTGTGTATATATATATATATATATATATATGTACACACACAAACACACACACACACACATACATATATTGAGGAACAAGATGTTTCAAATAGTAGAATTCATACATAGGAGAAAGAAGTTTGTAGGAAATTAAGCCACATTTTCCTTAATCTAGGAGGTGAAGAAACAATAAGAAAATAATATTTCCATTCCAGGAAGTTAGATATGCAGTATTTGCCATGACCAGATAACTATTTTACTTTAAGCATAAGGTGAGACTCAAGAGGTAGAATCTTTTGAAATAGCAATCCTCAATAAAGTTGGTCATGGAATATTAGCCCAAAAGAACAAAGTTTGGGCATAAAATTTACCAAAAAAAACCCAAAAAACAAAAAACACACAACAATTTTAAAATCTCATCAATGGTAATTAAGTGCTTCAGCGATCATTAAATTGCCAGATTGAGAGTAGGGGTAGAGAAGTGTTGGTAGAAAGGGCATCCTCTCTTCTGGAAATGAAAGGATTAAAGGGACTCTTTATGGAACTCCTTGAGAATTCAAAATAAGAACTCACAGCCCTTAAAAGTAAGCCAACATTCTTTGTACTAAAGGAACAAGCCCCATGTTTTGCACAATTGCATAAATTTAGACCTAGAAGGGATCTAGTCCAACCACCCCTCTCCACCCCCAACATCAGAAACCTGAGGCTCTGGGGCTGAAGTAATTTATCCACAGTTACACAAATAGTACGTGACATAGTTGGGATTCAAACATAGGTTCTTTGACGGCAAATCCAGTGCTTTTTTCTCCTGAACCATACTGAGTGCCAAAGAGCTCAGAATTCACATCATTAATTTAAGTTGTTTAAAAAAAAAAACCCACCTAAAGTCAGCATTTGAAGTGTTCATCTTTTTTTTTCCTCTTACTTTCTGGAAAGATATAAATTTCTGAAAATCCCTGAAGGAGAATCTATACACACTACAGCTTGCATCTTTGCTAATTTTTTAATCAGTAATGAGAAGGTTAAGTGAGCAATTGCTGATGAGATTCAGTCCTTGGATTGCACTGCATATTGCTATAACTGAGAGAAGGGAATCAACCAATCTAGAAGGAATTTGTCCTGATTTCAACATCAAGTGTACCCTCTGTGCTTCCATACAGGGTACAGAATGTTTTACATGAACTTGTACTAGCCATAAACACCATTTATGGGCCTTCCAAGAAGTTTCTTTTTTCTTTGTGCTTACTCTTCTAAATCTCTGTGACTTGCAACCCCTCCCTCCCTTCAAGGCTCAGCTCAAAGGCCACCTCCTAAAAGGATCCTTTTACTGACCTGATCAGTTTTATATATTTTACATATTATATTCATATATACATACTGTTCATCCTCACTCTGCCAAAATAATAATAATGATAATTACTAGCATTTATATAGTGCTTTAAGGTTAGCAAAGTGCTTTACACAAAATACTTCATTTTATCTTCAAGACAACCCTAAGAGGTAGATACTATTACTATTATCCTCATTTTCTAGAAGAGGGAACTGAGACAAGCAGAGATTAAATGATTGGTCCAAGATCTGTATACAAGTCTTCTGCAGAGTAGGATGTAAGTCTATGCCTCACCTGGATTATTACACTAGGCTCCTAACTGGCCTCCTTGTCTCAAGTCTCCCCCTACTTCAACCCAATCTTCCACCCAAAAGCTAAAGTGATTTTCCCAAGTACAGTTTTGATCATGTCACTCCTCACATAAAATCCAGTAGTTCCCTCTTGCCTCTGATATAAAATATCAACTCCTGCATTTTTTATCTGAGGCCATTCACAACCTGGTCCCACAATACCTTTTTTCTTTGTTGTTTTATTATGTATTATTCCTATTTCTGTGCTTTAACATGAGGGGTCCCCTATGTATGGATACACACATATACATTCAGCTCTCATTGTTCATATTAGATAGGTTCTATAAAGATACTGTGAACCCTGAAATACTGACCCAGTGTTCTCAGGGAACACACAGGGTTAGGTTCCTGTGAACCTCTGGTCATAATGTAAATGTTAGCACTTTCTGGAGCAGCCTCATATACAGATTAGTGAGTTTTCTCTTCCTTTTTTCTTGAACACTGAACTCATGGTTAGCCGCACTGTCTCATACCTGAACTAAGATTACCAAGCTTAGGAACACTAGACAACACTTCAACACTATGCTTGGGGGCCATTTTAAACAGCAAAATCACCCCACAAATAGCTCAAAAATGCAACAACAACAACAAAGTGTCATTAGATAGACCAAGGGCAGCTAAGTGGCACTGGGTAGAGCACTGGGCTTGGAATCAGGAAAACTCTTCATGAGTTCAAATCCAGCCTTAGACACTCACTAGCTTTGTGATCCTGGGCAAGTCACTAAACCCTGTTTGCCTCAGTTCCTCATCTGTAAAATGAGCTGGAGAAGGAAATGGCGAACTACTCTAGCTAGTATCATTGCCAAGAAAACCCCAAAATGGGGTCCTGGAGAGTCACACACAACTGAAACGACTGAACAACAGCAAATAGACTAGGAAAAGGACATTTGTTTATAGTATGAAAGCTGAAACAAGGCAGGGTGTTGCCTTGTTCCGACTTCAGCTGAGACTTGTGCATTGAATGACTCAGCATGTCTGTGAATGATTGCGAAAGCACCTTTGAGTATTGATTTCACAAATACAAAATCTGTGACAACTGTACATGTATACACAGTATGTGAATACATATACACACTTGTATATACAATTTGGAAATATCTATCTATATAATTTCTCTCCAAACTTTTTCCTTTGGTGATCTCCTCAACTCCCATGTGTTCAATGATCACATTTATGCAGATAACCTCCAAATCTATATGTAACCCTAGGCTGTCTGGCCAGCTCTAGCACTGTTAACTACCATTTACCCTATTTGGAGAAGGAAATGGTAAACCACTCAGTATCTTTGCAAGAAAACCCAAAATAGGATCACGAAGAGTCAGACAAAATGACTAAACAACATTGTCATCCTCTACATGGCTACAAAAGAACTCTTCCTAAGACACAGACCTGACCATGCCATTCTCTTGCTCAAAACCCAATTCCTGATGCTTCCAAGATAAAATACAGACTCCTCAGGATACCATTTGAAGGCCTCCAACATACGTTTTCAGCCTCATTTCACTCTTCTGCTTCAAATAATCTACATTCCAGTTAACCTGTATTATTGAGCTTTTCCCCAAAGTTGACATTCTAGTTTCTGCCTCCATGTTTTTTTTTTTGGGGGGGGGGGCGTTGTTTTTGGTTTGGTTTTGTTTTAAAACAGGGCCCTCTCCCATGGCTGGAATTCAGAACCTCCTCATTGCAATCTCTCAAAATATTCTTGTTCTTTCAAGGTTGAACTCAGGTGAGGCCTTCCTTGATTATCCCAGTTATCAATGTTCTTTTTGTATCCAAATTACATTGTATTATATGTGTCTATAAGTTGTATCCCTCCAGTAGAATGTAAGCTTTTTGAGGGCAAGGACAGTTTGGTTTTTGTTTTCTTCTTTCCAGCACTTACAACAGTGACTTACTCATAGCAGGCAGTTAATAAACGCTTGTTGAATTAGATTGAATTAGAGGGGGACAATGACTTAGCCAAGGACACACAGATAAATGTGTCAAAACTAGGATTCAAACCTAAGTTTGTTGCTGAGTTCTTTTTCCATTATACCATACTATATTGAGAAAAAAAATTTTTTTGAACAGAAGATACATTTTATCAGTCACTTAAGAGGAGGGAAAAATGTCATTGAAGTTAATATCTTTATTAATAAAGATGTAGTTATTAAAAGTTGTAAGTTTTATTTATTTCTAGCCTATTTCATTTTATGATACACAGATCAATTAAAATTTAAAAACACTCACCGTCCTTTGCATTAGGAGTGGATCTTCTGGACAACCTGTTCCTTTATCATTAAAACTTGATTCCATGCTGATTATGTTCTCAAAAACATCATCCATCTAGCAAAATATAATATACTTAAAATAAATACACAAGATCAAAAAGACCACCTCATCCCTACAATCACTCGATTGACAAGCATTTTTAGGCTTTCACCATGGGCCAGAAATTTGCTGGATGATTTCATTTGAAAAATTAAATTATGGTGGCATCTACATAATGGCCCCCACATCTTTGTGTGTGAAAATAATGGTCAGTCCATGCACTTTATGTGGCCAAAATATTCTCACTGAAAATGAAGACGAATAGGAGGCAACGAAGTGAACCAGACGCAACCAGATAGAATGTAGAAAGCACCGACCTAGGAACAGGAGACCTGTCTCTGCCATCATTTCATCTTATGACATTGGCTAACTGAAAATCTTTGTTGTTCAATTATTTTAGTTGTGTTTGACTCTTTGTGACCCAGTTTGGAGTTTTCATGGCAAAGATACTGGAGTGGTTTGCCATTTCTTTCTCCAGCTCATTTTACAGATGAGGAAACTGAGGCAAACAGGGTTAAGTGACTTGCCCAGGGTCACACAGCTAGGTCTGAGGTCAATTTGAACTCATGAATATGAGCTTTCTGGATTCCAGGCCCAGCACTCTATCTACTACACCACCTAGCTCCCTTTAACAATCTCTAGTATGTTAAAATAGATTGGAATAAAAACATAAAATAAAATAAAATAGATTGGAATAAGTAATCACCAGGACCCTTCTAGATCCAAAATTCTATAAATCAACTTTCCGTCCTTTGGTGTAAGTGGATTTTCTCCATACTTGCTCCATGAATAACTAGCAGAGGTTCTGAAAGCGCCTCCTGGAATGACCGGGGCTGGGGGGGGGGCAGTAGCCTCAGGTGCTGTTGGGGGGCATTGAATAAAAATTAGGGGGTGGTGGAAACATAAAGAAAGAGAAGAAAATTTTGAAAAAAATTACATGTTTCATCTGTTGTATAACAGAGTTAAAGTCATAGTGATTACATTGTTTTCCAAATAAACACACAAAATGAACATTATAACTGATCAGTTGGTCAAGTCCACCAACAGGTCTTTACAAGCAAATGTTGGCAGGCAAGCGTGTTGCTCATTGTAGGGAAGTCCAGCATGCATTGGCAGGAACATGTACATCTGATGACTTGTTTACAATATGATACCGTATGGTTATATGACACAATGTTGTGTCATCAAAATTTCAATGCAGGAAAAAAACAAATTAGAAATAAATTATTAAATCTAAAATGCGTCATTTTTTAAAGAAATTTTTTTCAAATGATGCAAATTAAAAAAAAAAATTAAAGGGTTAAAGAAAGTAGATTTCCAGAGGGGCCCAGAGTAATTTTTTTTTTTGAAAAGGGGGCAGTAGGACAAATAAATTTAGGAACCTCTGCACTAGAGCAAGGCAGCCCTTATATAGGAGAACTGGTGGCTATTACCCTAAAGTGCTTCAACGATTTTTCCAGATTCAGAATGCAGGCAAATAGGACCCCGATTGATAAACTTGTCCATTTGCCCAATAATCCCTTTTTTTTGTCCTTGAAACAACTTTTGAACAAAGCTTTTCCATGATCTAGCCTAAATTACAATTCTAGTAAACCACTCATACAAATAAATAGATGCCTGTATATCCAGTCAGAAGACCTAAAAACCTAATACAACTCACCTCCCCTCTCAATCTATTTCCTTAATCCTTTCTTTTTATTATCATCCCCTTTCCACTGCCTCTTACAATTTTTTCTTGTACATGGGCAAAAAGGATATTTCTGAATGCCAGTCTGAATACATAGGGGTAGAGTGTGTGCCATGTTCTCACCTCAGGATGTGAAAACCAATAAAAGAAAGTGAGTACAAATAGTGTAAGGACATTGACACTCCTGTAAGTGGGTCAAAATATTTCATTTTTTCATTAATTTTAAATCCTAAATGAGATGTCTATGGATTTCAAAGAATCAGGAATAATGTGGCTGAAAATGATGTGGAGTCTAGCCTTATATCTAGTTATCTCCATTAGGATTTTCTTAAGAATCACATAAAAGTAATTAAGACTACCACCTAAAATTAAAATAATTATATATGGTTTACTTATGATTATCACGTAATCTAATCTCCAGAAATTTTGAGGTATAACATTTTTTATTATTATTGTCAGCAGGTTTTCATTTTCCCATTTTTCCTTTCACCTAGGTAATAAAATGAGCTCTATATCTAAAGGATATCAGACAAAGAAAAATGCATTTTTTTTAAAATGGTGAGGAATAGCAAAAGTCACAGTGAGCAAAAGATTGTTTTCTTCTGGTCTTTCCTCCAGAAGAAAACAGATGATATTGAAGCCACTCCAGATAAATGTTCTCTATTTTCCCCATACTTTCCCGCCTCCTCTGGGACCTCCATGAATTATCTTCTCTCTTATATCTTCAGTCTTTCCCTCTACACTGAGTTCTTCCCCTTCATCTACAAATAAACTCAGATCTCCCTTATGCTAAACAAATAAATAGAAACTGTCCTTGACTACCCTAATTCCTCAAACTACACATTCTTCATTCATCCATTCATTTATGCATTATGTAAAGAATACCCAATTATGTGGAAGGCAGTTTGATATTAAAAGTGCTCTTTTAGACCTGACCCCCAAATACCATTGTTTTTCAGGCCTCATTCTCCTTGACCTCTCAATAGTATTGACACTGTCCCTCATCCTCTCATTAAAATATGCTCCCCCTTTGGCTCCAGTGACAATGAATTTTCTGGGCTCTCCTCTTATCTCTGGCCCCTCCTCTGCTCTTTTCACTGACTTCTTTTCTTCCTGTTGCCCCACCTAGGTAATCTCCTACCATTAGCTCATCCAGGTTGAATTATCACCACCTAAGTCTCTATCTGCAGTCCATACCTCTCTTTCTGGATACAGTCCTATATTTCCAGCTGCCCCCTGGACATCTCCCCCTCCATATTCCATCAACATGTCAAACTTAATGTCATGAAATGAATTCTTCTTTCCCCAGACCAGCTTCTCTTCCTGGCTTTTCCTATTGTCATTAATTGCCCCATCATCTTCCAAATTCAGTGTTAACTTGTAATCCCTCCTTATTTTTATGCTCTACATCAAATCCTGTCAATTCTCCCTCTGAAATCTGTTGCATCTATTCCCTCATTTCTATTGCCACCACCACCTGTTTCTCAGGTCCTTATCACTTCATACTTGTATTATTGCCACAACCTGATAACTAGCTTATTTGCCTGCAGTCTCTCCTCCAGTATAAACTGAGGGAAGATCTTCCTACCATATTGACTCAATTGCTCAAAAAGCTTCACTGGTCCTCAACAGCCTTTGGAGTAAGTTTTGAGGTGTTTGAAAATGAAATGGGCTACCTTATAAAGTAGTGAGTTTCCTGTGACTCACATTCTTTAAGCAGAAACTAAAGGACCACCTGTCAGAGGGATGGTGCGGAGATGCTTCCTCTATTAGTGGAAGGTGGGATTGGATGGCCAATATGGATGACTTCTAAGAGTCTATGTCTTTCTCCTGCTCAAAAACATTACATGGCTCCCTGTACCTCATTGAATAAAAGCTCTACTTCTCAGTCTGGTATCCAATGTCCTTCATAATCAGACACCAATATGTCTTTCTAGCCTCACAATCTATTCCTCCCTTATGTGCAGCCTATAGTCTAGCTATCATTAAGCATACCTTTGTCATCTGCTCTTTTGCCTGGAACATTCTCTCCCCAAATTTCTGTTGTAATTCTACCCATTTTTTTCAAAGCCAAGCTTAAATATGATCTCATTGATAATTCCTCTTGAACTCCTAGCCAAAGTCATCCTTCCTTCTGATTTACTAATGAACTTTAATGATAGCGTTCCTTACATCTCTTACCACATTCTTTCTCGTAGTTATTTACTGCCTTCTCTTATTCCTACCAACCATCAATAATTGGAAGGTCTTATTTAATCATTATATCTCCCTGTAGTTCCCAGCACAATGTCTGACCCAAAGTGAGTACTCAATAAATATGTTGAATATTTCGAGAAGCCTCCTCTGATTCTTTCCATTGTTCTCCTCAAATGACCTCACATTTACTTATCTGCGTACATGTATCTTTCCAGCATAATGCAAGCTCCTTGAGACCAAGGACTGTTTCATTTTTGCCTTTGAAATCTCAGTATCAGCATATCATCTTATACATAATAGATGTTTAATAAGTATTTAATTGAATTAACTAATGCATGACTGAATGATAGCTAGGGGAAAAACATCTGCAACACTGTCGGATAATACATTTCCCTGTTTCATAGCTGGTAACTTCTAACCAAACTTAAAATCCTGAATTTCAGATAATTTCCTCTGGGTCAATCCTCTGCAGGTAGGAGTTTGGAGAGTGTCTTTGAATAGTTGTTGGCCCCAGGGTTTCCTCTAGAGGGGCTGAGTTGTACTATGTCCGGCTCACTGTGAAAAGTCAGAAGACTGACATTTGTAATTTGACGTCTAGTTAAAAAACAAAAAAAAACAAAAGGAACATATTTCGCATTTTGTTTTGTCTTTCTGATCTGTACTATGTTTTCATCTGTGTATGGAAACTTCTTCTGTCAATGCCAATCATTAACTTGTCTAATACTTTATTCTATGAGAGATTTGTCTATGGTACTGAGAAGTTAAGTGACTTTTCTATAGTCACACAGATGGTATGTTTAAGAATGAGAACTTGAATGGGGCAGCTAAGTGGTGCTGTGGATAGAGCACCAGTCCTGAAGTCAGGAGGACCTGAGTTCAAAGTTGGCCTCAGACCAAACACTTAACACTTACTAGCTGTGTGACCCTGAGCAAGTCACTTAACCCCAATTGCCTTAAAAAAAAAAAAAAGAATGTTAACTTGAATCCAAGTCTTCCTGGCTCTAAGGCTATCACTAACTCATATATTTTGCTTAAGAGAAGTTAAAAAGTTCATATTCTCAAGTTCCACTCAGCACAAGACTATGCCAATAAATTCTCACTTTCTGTCCTTCCCCACCAAAGAGTCATCTCCTATTTCAAAATGCATCTTGAAAATAGATATCTATTGGAAATATGTTTTGCATGACTGCATATGTATAACCTATATCCAATTGCATGCTTTCTCAATAAGGGGGGAAAAGAGGGAGGGAGAGAGAGAATGTGGAACTCATAAATTTTTTAAAAATCAATATTAAAAATTTTTTTTACATGTCACTGAGGAAAAAATATTAAGTAAATGTCAAGAAAAAAAGAAAATGGATATCTATAAGATCCTCTTGCCCTTCGTATGTAAAACTTATTCTCCTCTTATGTTTGCATAGTCTTAATGGAATTATGTGGAAATTCTGAGTCCAAATTCACTTTTACAAAAATGACAAACAATTAGTATGTCAGTATGCATTTTTTTTTTAAATGAAAGAAAGAATACACTAGCCAAATGACTTTCAGAGTTGGGTTTAACTTGCTGAATAGTTCTTGAACTGTGCTCATTTAAAACTTCTTGTGAGATTGTATGTATGTGTGTATGTATGTATATATGTATGTGTATGTGTGTGTGTGTGTATATATATATATAATATATATATAAAATTTTTGTAAAATAAAACATTTTGAATATTTTCTCCAAATGAATTATGATCATGGATTTAGCATGGAAGAGACGTTAGAAACTTTCTAGTTCACCTCCTTTGTTTTACACTTGAGAAAACCAAAACCTAGAGAGGTCAAGTGACTTACTAAAAGTCACAAAGGCTAAAAATGGGATTTGAATCCACCCATCTTTTTCATTGTACTACCTCTAATGCCTCTTTATCCTTTTGTCCTGGTCTTAAGTGACCAATCATAATTTTCAAAGCCGTTAGTCATATATTCCATACCACATTTTCATGGTCCTTCCCAAGAGCTAGCAACTTGGTGATTGGATTTTCTATGATCCCGATCTCACTGTCAGGAGGTGCATGTCCATTCTGTACCAAATGTGTGGCACCTGTGGCTTGTGGATGAGTCAGTGTTAGGGTTTGATTGGGCAACTTGGCATCTAGAGTCAGATACTGCTTAACTTGGTGTCTCTGTGCTTGCTGTATATGGTACCTAGTTGGGTTTTCCACTTGTGTTTGGACCTAGAAATCAAAAAGATAAATGTTAATAGGTCACATCGTTTGTTAAATCAAAATGGCTAACACAGTCTATTTTTAACAGCCAAATCGTGACATTAAACACATAACATCCTAAAACACTCCAAGCCTTTTGTAGATTTTTGTAGTTGTCATAAGTTACATAAGGCTATAATGACTTTACTATTTAGAAAAATCAATATGTGTCAGTGAGAGACTACTGGATTTCTTAACCTTTACTACATATCGTTTGATGCCAAAAGCATTGGTAAAAATTAATTTCTCTCAAAATATTGTACAAAAGAAAATGGCATGCAAATGACACAAAATTAATTGCAAAAGTGATTGCCATAATGCAGTGATAGTGATAAAGAAAATGCTCAAGATCTTGCTGCTGTGAGTTCTTTACTCACCTTGTAATAAGGTCGATCAGTTAAATGAGGCATTGCTGAGTTCTGCAAGAAAGAAAAACTTTCAGTCCTAAGGAAAGCCTACCCATGTATCAAATGCCAATCAAACAACCAGTGTGTGGGCTTTTGGAACCTACAAGTCAAAAGTGAAACTTTTTAAGCTCGGTGGGTCATTATACAGTCCTCAGTAGTAAAAAGCTTGCCACCTTTTTGAAAACTCAAGGAAATCTTTCCACATTTCAGACTTATTTTCACTAGCTTGTGTGTTTGCACACGCGTGTGCATGCACGCACACACACACACACACACACACACACAGTGCTGCTGATAACTTGGGCCTCTGACTTTTCCTTCCACTACCCTGTGAAGTGACTAGTCACCAATTTCTAGTAATAAATTTTCCTCAAGTGGCCCATATGTAAGTGTGTTTAATATGCCTGGCATGTTAAACAATAGCAAAGGCTGCAGTACAATGCTTATTTTTTCTTTTTTATTCCATCTACACAAACTACTGTTTAATTCCCTTAACATACATTAGCCCAGACAAATAGCCCATACAAAGTATTTTGCATTTAAATGAGCTAGTTTGGGGTACAATATTGTAGTACTTACTTTAGTTTAATTCTGTTATGCTGACATTTTTAGCATTATTTTAATTGTGTGACCATAAAATAATTTTTCAGTCATATAAAAAAAGATTAAGATTGGTAATAAAGATTACACATATTACTAATTATATTGCTACGAGCTCTGAAGTTGTAAAATAACATTTCATTAAAACACCAGTGGGAATTTTTTAGGGTGGCTGTTTAGATTATTCTACAGTTTCAAGTTAACACTCCTCATTCTCTTCACACATTTACAAAATATACTTCATAAATAACATTTTCAGACTCATAAATTAGAGTCCTCTTTAGTTATGTATTTTACATTAATATTTAAGGACATTTGTATTAGGTTTTTTTTTTTAAGAGTGCCTCTGGTTCAAAGGAAAGGATGTTGACTTCATCAGTTCCCCAGATTCATTCACCCCTTATGAAGCATTTATTAAAAGCCTACTGTACCAAGTGCGGCGAAGGAGACCAAAGATGTCGAAGACCCAGTTCAAACCTCCAAGGAATTTACAGTTTGGGTACAACATGATCTACACAAATCAGAAAACTCAAGAACAAAACAAAAATGCTTCATAAAGCTGTGCCAATTATAGCCAAAAATAGGAACTAACAAAGTCAAAGTTTTTCAAGAAGGTGAACTTTGAATGAAGTCTTGAAAGAAGGCTAAACCAAGGCAATGTGGCAGAGCTCATGCGGCCTCTGTGAGGGGAGGCCTTTCTAGTGACTTCTAGGGACTAGTGATTTCTCCTTCCTGGAATGACTTTATATTTATTTATCCGTACTTCCCCAGTAGAATATAAGCTCAAAAAGTGCTCCTTGTCAGTTTTTAATCTTTGTATCCATAGCACAGGCCAGCTAGCTGCTGCAGTAGATAGAGAGCTGGGCCTGGAGTCAGGAAGACCTGAGTTCAAATCCAGCCTCAGACACTTACTAGCTCTGTGACTCGCAGCAAGTTGCTTAACCCTGTTTGCCTCTGTTTCCTCATCTGTAAAGTGATCTGGAGAAGGAAATGGCAAACCAGTCCAGTATCTTTGCCAAGAAAACCACAAATGAGTCACAGAGAGTGGGACAGGACTGAAATGACTGAACAACAACAACAAATCCATAGTACCTGGTCCCTGAAAATTTTATTTTCTTTTGTTTCGAGGAAATTTTTTTTGGCGGGGATGGGCTAAAGCTGAGATTTCATTGATGTAGGGGAACTCCTAGTGAAAATATTATCGGTTTTAAAAGGTAACTATTCTGCAGTTTAGAAAATTGCTTTCAGAACTGTGAGATTAAGTACCTTACTCAGAATTACATAGCCAGTATGTGACAGAGGTGACAACTGAACCTAGATCTTCCTGGGCAAGCAGCGGATAGATTGGTAGGCCTGGGGTCAAGAAGACCTCAGCACAAATGTGGCCTCAGTTTCCTCATCTATAAAATGGGGATAATAATAGCACCTAAGTCCCAGGGTTGATATAAATAACAAACGGTATAAAATCTGTAAAGTGCTTTACAAACCTAAAATGCTACATATAACTGCTGCCTGTTATTTCTGGCTCTCTTTTTACCACAGCATGCCTCTTGCCCCGCCTGGCCTGTAGCAGACACCTAATAAATGGTCATCAAACTGAGTTCAATTAGATGAATTTATATGGAAAGCATTGCAAGGGGAGAAAAAATAACCTGAGGAAAAGGAGAAAAGCAATAGCTGGAATCAGGGATGGAAGAGAAACAATCCAGAGCACTTCTCCAAAAAGAAAGCTGCACCCTCTCCCAAACCACAGCAGAACATGAGACATGGTCAAAGATGAACTCAAATGGAACTCGATGTACTTCTCCATTAACGATCTGTTTATTTGCAGTTACAAAGGATGAAACTCTGGCCAGTAAGGAGGCTCGTATGTATATCTGTCCAACACAGCGGTCCAAGTAGAAGGAGATTTGCATAGGGTAAGAGCATAATTTCAAAGTACAGGCCTTCAGAGAAGTCTCATTAGCAGAGGACTTCTTAGCCTTTTTTGTGTCCTGTACTAAGGATGTAAAAATATACACATAGCTCTTTTTGAAGCGGCACAGAACAGGAATTTGAGGGGGGCGTCTACTATTTAAGGAATAGCTGAACAAGTTGTGGTATACAATTGTGATGCTATATATTGTCCTGTACTAATGATAAAGAGGATGGTATCTGAAAACCCTGAGGACACTTGTATGAACTAAGGCAAAGTAAAGTAAGCAGACCTAGGAGAATAATTTATTCACTGACAATAATATGGTAAAGACAAAAAACTTTTGAAAGGCTTAGAAACTGATCAACCACAATTCCAGAAGAGTAAGGATGCCTCAAATTACCTACCTCCTCATAGAAAGGTAAAAGACTCAAGCACGAAGAATGAATGAAACATACATGTAATTTTTTTAGACATGGCTAATATGAAAATTGTTTTGCTTGTATTTGTATTTGTATTAGCAGTTTTATATTCTTTCATTCTCAATTGGGGGTGTGTGGGAGGGAGAGAACAGATTTTTATTGATTGAAATAAATAAAAAAGAATTTTTAAGTGAATGTTGCCAAATTACAGAGAATAAGCATAGCTCCAAAGAATAAAAATGAGAAGAAGCTTCCCCCTGCCCCCGACTCCTGTGCAAAGGTCAGAGTTTCATGGATATGGAAACTTGCATGTGCTTTTGGCCTTTTTTTCAGCATATTGATTGGTTTGCTGATTCTTTTTTCTCTCATCTTTAAAATCTTTGTTACATGAGATGGTTCTCTGAAAGGGAGAAAGTTCTTTCTCTGGAGGTGAATAGCATTTTTCTTGAGTCTTTTGGAATTGTCTTGGATCATCGTATTGCTGAGAATAGCTAAGCCATTCACAGTTGATCAGCAGATGGCTTTCTCAAAGAGTTTAGCCACAAAGGAGAAGGGAAATATCAGATAGTAACTAGCAGAAAAATTAGGATCTAGTCATGGTTTTTTTATGGATGAGGGAAAGATGGGTCTGTTTATTGTTAGTTGAGAAGGAGCCAATTGGTAACTATTGAAGAGAAAGAGAGAGAGTGGTGATAAAGGTGGGGCAAAGCTGCTGGAGAAGACAGGAGACGGGATCAAATCACTTCCTCCTGAATCTCCCAGCATGGCTCCCTTTAATAGCTCAGCAAAAAACAAACAAACAAACAAACAAAAAAAAAAAATAAACAAACCAGACCCTGAGGCCATGTCCTATAATGAAGACTTAATCTTTCATTCTTAATGGGACATAGCCTCAACCCTCTCAAGCAGGTAGGTCTATACCTCTCAAAAAATGTTAACCCAAACTTTTAGGAAATTCCATTCAGCTTAATGCAGTGCAAAGTAGCATTACATAATAACAATTTGCATTAATGAGTGGTTTTCTAAGTTTACAAAATATTTTTCTTCACAATAACCTTATGATGAAGGTAACGCAGATATCATCCTCATTTTATATACAAGGACATGGGTTCTCTAAACATGTCAGCCTGTGATGATGAACTGCTCTCTCCAAAGTCATGTGTTCTCTTACTGCCAAATCCAATGTCCTCAGTACTTATCATTTTTCATCTCACTGCAGTCTTTGACACTTAACAACTCTCTCCTGGATACTTCCTCTTCTCTGTATTTTTGTGATATTATTATTTTTTTTTTTGGTTCTCCTCTTTCCCGTAGGATCAACTGTTTTTCAAACTCTTTTACTCAAAAATCATCCACCATGGTCCCTAAAAATAGGAATCCCTTGAGGATCTGTCCTAGACTCTCTTCTCTTCTCTCACCATGACATTTAATCAGCTCACCTGGGATCAATGATCATCTCTTTGCAAATAGCTCCCACATCTACATATTTAGTCTGAGTCTCTACCCTCAGCTCCCCTCCTGTATCACCAACAGAGCAATGGCCATTTCAAACTGGACATCCTGCAAACATCTAAAACTCAACAGATCCAAAAGACAACTGCCCCTCATACATGAAACTCTATCGCTCTATTTCCCTACCTTTGCTCTTCGTACCTAGAACAGACTCTTGTTCTCAGACTCTCTGGCTTCCTCTAAGGCTAAGCTCAAATGCTACCTTCTACATCAGTGGTTCCCAAAGCGTGGTCTGCAGACCCTTGGAGGATCTTGATAACCTTTCAGGTGGTCCACAAGGCTGAAACCACAGGATTTATATAATAATACTAAATACTTATTGCCTTTTTCATTTTCATTCTCTCACAAGTGACAGTGGAGTTTTCTAGAGGTGAGATGATTTAAACTTAGCTACCAACATGAAGACTGAATATTTCAACTGCAGAATTGTATGTTTGCCTTACAAACAGACAAATCTACAGGCATGATTTGAACTTCAGTTTTGCTTGTATTTATCTGGTAGCCGGACCGACTAATCATCAAAGATTGTCTTTTATGTGAATGTTTGACATCAAAGAAAAGCA